GGGAAGACAACACCCCCACCCCCACCTCATAGAGGGAGAACAGTTTGTTCTCCTGGGGGAACTGTGCATGTGTCTGTGTGCCTTTAGGTGAGTGGCTTCCCCTCTCTGGGCCTGTTTCTCCCTCTGTTAGATGGGACAGTGATAGGACTGACCCCAGAGGGTCTTTGTGGGGATTAATGAGGTTGTATGATGGCGCCTGGCACACAGCTGAGGTTCAGTAGGTGGTGGCCATCACTGTAATTTGCACAAATAAAGGTGCACCTCGAGGTAGGCACCTCGAGCACTCAGGGGTTAAGTAGAGTATGTTCATTCAGTCAGTCGTCTCGGGAAGCATTGAATGCCGGCCTACTACGTGCCAAGCTTGTCCTAAAACAGTTCCTCCAGCCTGTTCAGGAGCAATTCAGACTCGATTTCTCTTCCCCAGCTAATAAGAAGAGTGGCTGCCATTAGTTTACATTCAGGAAACAGAACCCCCCCATGGGGCATTACGACTTGTCCGAGATCACCACTGAAGCTGCTACCGCCCCCATCCCCTTCACTGAAGGTTCAAGGCCTGGCTTTGAGCTCCAAAGACATCCCAGTAGAGATGGGCCACCTGCCCGCCTGGGTTCCAGACCAGCAGGGCTGGCTGGGGCTGGGGGCCTTGAGACGGGCCCCCCTTCCCGGTAAAGGGCTGCTAGGGGCAGCTGAGGTCGTCGGTACAGTAGCGACTGCCACCACATCCGGGGGCTGGGCCGGCTGGGGCTGGGGAAGGAAGGAAGTCTGAGGCTGGAGTGAAAACCCAAACCACCACCTGGGGAAGCTGCTCAGCGCCCAGAGGGATGAGGGGTGAACAAGGCCACGTGGAGCTCACAGTTAGGCTCCTGTCAGTGTCACCTGATGGCCATCTGCCAACCTGCATCCTTCTTCAAGCGTTCCTAGGGCCCCGACAGGAGCCAGGTCCTACTGTGGGCACTGGGGCACAGCCCTTGACAACCCAGGGGGTGGGCCTTAGCATCCGGCACGTTGTACAGACCATGCCGAGGGCCAGGGGTGTGCAGAGGGAGTCCCACAGGACTGGGTACAAATTCTGATGACCTTCTGGAGGCCCTGAGCAGCCCCCCGCCTGCACCCCATTTTCTGTAGCTTGGTCTAACGATCCCACTTTTGGAGGGTGTCGTGAGGACCCAGTGAAATAGCACGTGAGGAACTTGGCGTGGCATCTGGTTCCCACTGGGTGCATACCTGACCACTTGGGTCTGACCACCTTGGTGAGGGGAAGGGACTCCTCAGGGCTCCTCCCCGCATGGCGGGAGCTCTCCCTTCACCCTCCATGGTGGCTGAGGCTCTAGTAAGCCCAGGCCCACGTGGGGAGGACAGGCGAGGTGGGGAGTTAAGTACTCAGGATGAGCCCTCTGGCCTCCTACCACCCATCACACATGGGGGCTGGGGGTGGGGAGGGGGAGTCTCAAGCTGTCACAACATGTCGTGTTTCTCAGGGCTCTGCCCCCAGGCTGCTGCTGAGGCCCCTGGGGAAGGAGTGTGCTCAGGAACAGAAAGGAGGGGCCCGGGGAGATTCGGTCCTGTGCCCCCATTTCCGGCCCTCCACCCACAACCCGCCCAAACCCTGGGCCCCTCTC